TTTTCTCAGTAAGCGCATAACTGGAGTTACAAAACCCACCCACAAAACTCTACCCTTCTGCAAAGATGTTCTGCATTCTTAGTGTATTTCGTCTTTTTCTCTTTTTTCCCTTAGCTGATTCTGATTCTGATACTAGCTTTAGGGCTTGTGCTGCTCAAACATTTTTGAAATACTTAAAGGAAGACGTACTCAACCAGACAATTGTGTGTTTTGATTGTTATCATATCAGAATATTTGGCTTTTAAAGCATCTGGAGACTGGCAGTGAGGTTTCTGAAGCTTTTTCGGTATAGTCACAGGTGTTCATTGTGCCCTGTGCTGTGCCACCTCTTCCAACAGCATTTTGAACCCCTATCAGCATCACACTTCCACCTCCATGCTTCACTGGCTCTTGCTCAGCATCCTGAAATAGGCTACACCTAGCAGATAAAAAGGAAGTAAAAAGGAGGATTTTAGGAGGACCTCTTAGGAAAAAAATCTTTGCTGAAGTATTTTGTTATACCCATGACTTCTAAGTGGCAAACGTATACTATAAACTAATTTTAAGTGCATTTAACACTTCTTTGTCAAATCAACCAGTGGGCTGCAACTAAACAAGATAATTTAGTTGTGTCACAAATAGATTTTAGCTCGTATTTTATTTTAGTGGCCATTGCAGTGCCCCCTCCCTCCTCACATCCTTACTAGCCTTCTTTCGTGCCGTGTTTCATGGAAGACAGGTGCAAAAAAGTAATCAAGTTTATTCCGGTTGGGAAGTGAGTAATAAGTGCTCCTTCAATGTGATACTTGCCCAGGTTTACGACTCATAAACTGCACTGGAAATCTAAGTTAGATCAGGTAATTCCCAATCAAGGCATAGCTGGTTTAGTGTTTCACATAAAACTCTTGGTTCTTCTGATGCCTTTAATAACAGAGTTTTTAACTTGCATGAGGTGGGTCATCAATTCTAAGCTTTTAGTATCAAATATTTAAAAAATGTAAATTATTTTCTATAAAGGAATCTGAGGGAGCCTAGGAACACCAGACATAAGGGTTTTAACAGAGATAATTATATAACTGTAAATAATAAGTTGAGCTCCTGATTTCAGTCTCAGGATACCATTGTGGTCTGAAGAAGAACTTTGGTTAATTTTGGTCTTATTCTAAATTATATACATTGTAATATGTAACTTTTTTTGTTTTTGTTTTTAGAAGCTGAGTTTTTGCAGTGAAAGATCCACTCTGACCTAAAGTTATGTGCTGAAAAAAAGCATGTCAGGGATTCTTCTCTGGCGTTTTCCACCAAGCTTGACAAAATGCAGTCTCCATTATCCTGACTGAACTGCCACAGAAAGTCAGATTCCTCATGATAACCTCTGTCCCAAGCCAGAAGAACTCTGTTTCTTCCAGCAAATACTTACGCAGCTCAGTGGCTGTCAGCTTGTTTCACCAGCATGGTCATGGGGACTGCTGTGAGCAGTACCATATCTTCTTCTACCCTTTCTGACTGTGGCTGCTGCTCGTCTTTGCTTGTATTTGTGGCATCTTTGTGAGATTTGTAATGTTGAGCTATGATGCAGACAAGCAGAGGGAGTCGGTCGAGAATCAGTGAGCCAAGTACTTCACTTTTTTTAGTTGAATTTCTCATAAATAATTTCAGAAAAAAAAAACATCTTTTAATTTTTGTTTTCATAAGATACTGAACGTCTATATAACACCTTTGTAAAGTGACTATCACGCCAATAGGGTTCCTGTTTTAAATCCCAGCTGGGGGTCTTTCTGAGTTTGCGTGTTCTCCTTGTGCACACACGGGTTCTCCCAGATACTCCGGCTTCCTCCCACTGTCCTAAAACATAGATGTTAGATTAATTGGTATCTAAATTAGAAAGGAGTTTGAATGTGTGGTTTTCCACCTCAGTCCTCTCCATGTACCCTGTGAAGGACCGGTAATCTACTCACTCAAGTCGATGTCAGTCTACCTTAAGCATCTGTCATTCTCATACAGATCCAGAGCATATCATTTTGGCAGGTTTCTAAATGTTTTTATTAAACCTGGTATATTCCACTGTGACAGCAAATCGTAAAGAAGAGTAGAATTATCTCAACAATCCTATGAAAGTCTATTTTATGGCCTTTTTAGACCCTTTTTTGTGGATGATAGGAGATGCACTACCTCAGACGATGTGGATTCTAAACCAGGCTTTAACGCAATGTTGCAACTGTCATTTACTTTGAAGGAAATGACTCATGAGGATTACAAGAAATGGGTACTTTTCACTGAGACTTCCAGGAACTTTGCTGACACTGTCTTTTTAATAACCACACACGTTGGAGAAGAGCCACTGAGGCACCCATTTCACTATTTTATACGTAGGCATAAAATAAATGCAAAAACCATTAATAATGCATGCTTGTCGTCCATGCAAAACGCTTTATATTTGATAGTACTAGTCTTGTCTTACACGGTCAACTTAATATCATGAGTGCTCAATTTGTGCATTCTGCTGATGAGCCAAGACTCGTGAAAATCTGGCAATATGATGAAATCCAATAATGCCTCGAGAAATTAGAACAATCTTGAGCCCTCCCTTAATAAAATGCTTTGAATGCTGCAGATTTATCAGTCTTCATTCGCTCAAACAATTTCCGGAAGAACATGAGCACACACAAAAAAGGAGTTATCATTTAATTAGTACAATCTTCACACTTTCTGCATATTTCATTTTTATTATTGTTTTATTCCCCTTACCTCTTCTGCATTTGCAAGATCATCAGGAAATATATAATAACCCCTTTCAACGAGAGAATTTTCCTTTCTATTACAAACCCTGTCACGAGCAGTAGCCTATCTGGGGTTTGCCTCTGCACCACCTAAACTTTCCAAAAGGATGATGACCCAATTGAAGCTCTTCCTCACCACTTTCTGTGTGGGGCTCATTTGGATGTGCTGTGGGAAATGCATGAAATAGGAAGCTAGTGCTAGCTATAAGAAGTTGGGACTGTTCTGAGTAATCAACAACAGTAATAGCTGGCCCCAACAGGGGAAGTACCAGGATGGTTGGTTTCTGTTGCTTTCAAAATTCTCAGAAAAACAGATAAGCATGATAGCTGCAAGGCTGATAACATCTGCAGCAAATCTTGGTGAACTATCTGCTCAGTAGCAGGTCAAGCTAGCAGCTCTGTCAGCTAGCAGACATGGCTGCTAAGCTAGGAGGCAAACTTTGCTATTGCAGTTAGCAATAGCTAATTAGCAATTATCTACTGCTATTTTTTTTAGCAATAAAAAGTAAATATATTGTCATTCAGAAAGTTCTTTTTAAAAGGTTTTTCCTAAATACCCCCTAGACGTCTTACTCTGGCAAAAACTAAGGGTAAAGAAAGCAGCTTTTTATTCTTGAGAACTGCTCTTTTAAAGTATTTAAAGCTATTAGAGCCATGTGTTTTTTGTTTTGTTTGGTAACTGCAGTTTTTTTGTAACTCATACATTTGTCAGACCTTTTATACCTTTTAAGCTTTGAGGGTTTTCTTTTTCTCTGGCATTGTGCACAGCAAAAAAACAAAACACACAACTTACAAGACCCACAGGACAGCCGACTGTGGTGGTTCCACATAGTCTGGAGTTTATATTTAATGTCAAACCCTTTTTTTGTGTTTTGAAGGCACAACCATAGTTTGCACAGCAGGTTGATACTACTCGTACCTCAGAGAGGATTTTTTTAAGCTTTAACAAAGTATATGAAAACGTCTATGAATTAAAAGTTCAGGAGGCATCAACACAGATGTCATAAATTCAAACAATGCTTGCACAAAGGCTCAGGATTGAAAACTTTTATTGATTTCCAAAACAGTTTATATTTTGTGTTGTTTCTGGCATTTGAAAGAAAGACAGACACTGAATTGATATTGATTTCATTGCACCTCAAAATGTGAAACCAGTGACACAGTTACCTTATTTTCTGTTTATGTTGGGTTGTTGAAATTCCTTTTGCGATAGGTCACAGATTATTAACAGGTGAATTTCCTTTTAAGAATCCCCCCCGACAAGTCCAGTTGCTGCATTGAAAACTTCCAGGATAACCTCACCGCTCTGCTCTTTTTAACGTGTATTTGCTGTCATCTAGTGGACTTACTGGTAAGGGCCTCATGGAGTGTAATGTAGTTTCAGTGCAATAGGTGTCACTGTGAGGTCATTTTTCACATCTCAGTGAGTGTTGTTTATTCCACTCACAGAAGCCCCTTTGGATAATTGTGTGAACTCCACTAGATGTCAGTAGATGAGTCGCTTTAAAGAGCACAAACATGGATGCTTTGGAATAGCACCCACTTCTCTATGTTTAAATTTAACACTCAAAGTACAGTTTCTAGCTTTGAACTGAATCCGTCTCATTAGCATGCTTTTCTTTTCCTCCAAGCAGATATTAGATCCAACCGATCAAACTTCGGCCTTCAGGGTTCTAGAAAAGAAAGCGGTATCCGCAGAGAGAAAAACACGCAAACAAAAAGTTGTTTCGCAGTTTGTTGAGCTCCCATGTTTTGTTCATGTGTAGGGAAGCACTTTTTAAAAAATTTCTTTTTTTAAATGTGTAAATTATTCATAAATATTTCACTGTCAGAAAAGAGAGAAACTGTTTGCTGATTAGATATGTAGGAAGTTTACAGCCAGAACACTGCATTGACACACTTTTACATTTGTGGCTCTGAACTGTGTGTTTGTGCCTGTTTTTGTTCTTCCACAGCGTTCATTAGGCACATAGAACTTTTTTCTTCTGCTCGCAAGGGTCCCGCCGTTGGTGGAGGGGCAGGATTACACCTCCCTCTACCCTACCCTGAACTCCTTCTCCACCCTCCTCATCCGTCCATCCCTCCCTCCCCCCTCTCCGCTCCCCCCCCCCCCGGGCGTTTTTTTTTTTTTTTTTTTTTTTCTGTGCTCTGTTCCGGCCCGGAGTGGAGTAGAGGAGCGGAACGAGGAGCGAGAGGAGAGCCTTTGCTGATCCGAGGAGATACAGACCGGGGAGAGGGACCATGGCTGCTCTCTCTGCCTTGCTGAAGACCTGGGTTATCCTGCAGACGCTGTGCCTGGCTCTGGCCCAAGTGGTGAGTGGACCGGGGAGGTAGAGACCTTCTCGGCTCAGGCTTCCCTCCGTTTTTCAAGGGATTTAGGGGATAAGGGCCTGCAAAAGGGGGCCAAAGGGCTCTTCAAGAGACAATATAGGTTGTGTGCGCTCATGTTTGCTGTTGTGGAGATAAAAAAATATTGGAGCTCGACAAACCCCCGATCTTTGAGCGGTGACTATCCGGGCGCATTGGAAAGATGTGTTTGAGATTTGCTTTCTGCCCAGTGGAAAAAAGAACACAGGACTACCTTCAGTGGATTATCTGCCTCATCCAGCGTGGACTCACACCTGGATTTGTCTTTACCATTGTTGCATTTCTGGGACTGAGAAAGACCAGCAGAGCATAGCAGCAAAAAAGACTAAAAGGAGTTTGCACTGACACACAAATGCAAAGTTTGGCCCCTGTGTGTGAAAGGCCTCTGATTCTGCCCAGCACCTACATGTCATCCCGTGGACTGCGGCGGATTGTCCAGTTTTATCTGTGCTTTTAAAACTCTTGGTTAATTGAAAGTGGAATTGAAGCAGATATGATTTGAAATACTGCCCGATGTACCAGGAGGGTTTTCAGAAAGGCAGTAAGATGGAGGGGGTGAGGGGGGTGGGGGAAGTGGGGTAAACAGTGCCAGTCACACAACCCCTCCCTCACACATTCCTCCAGAGAATTCCTCTGCTTTTACCTGACATTTCTGCACTCTCCTGATTTCTTTACTTGCCCTAATGTGGTTCCTGAGCATTGATTTAATCACAATATTAAATAACTTTAGATCTATGCATTTATTAAGTACACCTCTAACATTTTTAACATTTTATTAAAGGGGTTTTAACTATTTATTTTGAATATTTATTCTATTAAGAATAATAAGAGTTTATTATTTAGTCATTTATGTTCATTTTTAGTCAAAAATTATAAATTCCTAACCCATAACAGGCTTCAATCTACATAAATAAACAAGTGTTTTAATTGTTTTTTATTGAATGTGGGTTTGTTATATCCTCCTTGGTAATAGATATCTTATTCTTTTTGTCTGCATTTCAGAGGGGTCCGCCCGGACCTCAGGGCCAGCCAGGCCCACCAGGCCCCTCTGGCACTCCTGGGTCAGATGGCATTGATGTGAGTATTTTGCACAAGTTTGCCTGACAAATTTTCCCACAAAGCTCCTCATTGTGCAGAAGTCAAATCAAAGTGAGCGCTGCTCTGTAGTGTCAGAGTTTTGCCAGCAGAGAGCGCTGCAAATGAAAACACAGTGACACAAAAAGGGCTCTGTTCCTAGCAGAGAGAGGGGTCTTTGAGAGGGGACCCGAGTCTGTGTCTGTGTAATTTAATGCATGGAAGTTATTTTAAAAGAGACACTGGGCAGGTTGTGTGAAAATTAAAAGATTTAAGGGCAGGATGTGTGTATAGAACACATATTGGTGATCAATCACATGTGACCAATAATGTATTTTATATTCAGAGTAAAAATTTGAAAGCCAATGAGCTTGTTTGATTAAATCCTCTCCATTTGATCGATCTTATTATTTTATTTATAGTAAAAAGACAAAAAATGACTGTCTCTTTTTTTGTTAATTTGACATGAAGGAGTTTAGGCTTTACATGTAAATGCGAATGAAGACATTGTGATTATATATTTTATGTATCCTTCCTGATTCATGTGTGGCTCATTTTAACACAACTGTTCTGTCCCTCTGCAGGGAGAAAAGGGACCTCCTGGGCCTCCTGGACCACGTGTATGCTTCTTTTGTACACCTAAACTTTATATTACACATATATATATATATGGTCAGAGAATTATCCTTTTTACTGAACTGTTTGGGTCTTCAGGCATGGAATTCTAACTGTTTAAAAAGAACACGTGACAAAAATCGACTTCTGTCACACCAGACGTGTTACATATAATATGATGATATATACAAGCATCGTATAGTGGACAGAGTTGTCTTATGGATTCCCCACATTGTTTTAAGGAGGGTATCACGTTTCTTAGGCTAAATGAAAGAAACATTCAAGGAAACATATTCCTTTATCATTTAGAGAATCAGATCAGCTGTTATCATAACAACCACAAAGAGATTTCTGGATGAACTCACTCACTCTCACAGGCCATTAACAATAAGAAGGAAAAATGAAACTACATTTTTGACTCTGTTATTTTGTTCACTGTAGGGGCAAAAGGGAGAGCCGGGGGAACCAGGTCCTAACGGAGCGCCGGGGGAGAACGGCATCGATGTGAGTAAACTGGTCTGTCTTTGGTGTGAGAAACCATGAGAAAAAGAGAGGATATGTCAGAGATGATCCAGGACAAAGGAGGCTATCAGGGAGGATTATTGTTAAGGGTGGGTTTAGCCCACAAGTGTCGCTAAGAAGCTGGAGGAAAACAGACGTTTAGAGCCACGATGAGTGTGGTGATAAATGGCTTAAAGTGAAAGGTTTTTCTTTAGTTTTTGCCCGTTGTGCTGAGCCAATCGCATTTTCCTGACATTTGAAAGTGCCACGTGCCCTTCATTAGTACCGGAGATTACCCAGTTGTCATTACTGTGAGAGCTCTGCGTGATTTGTGGGACTGAAAGGGTTAGTAATAATGTGAGAGGTGGTTTCAGCTGAACACAGTTCAAAGATGCTTCGCATACACATTTGAGCTTTGATAATGGTCTAATTATACCTCGTCATATACACTAATTCAATTTCTAGCGTAGCGCAGAGATGAACATAAAGATACGCAGTTGAATTTAAATGGATTTCAAGCTTCGTTTTTTAAATTACCTGATTAAAGGCCGTCCCCGTGCTTCATCAGTTTTTATTCTCTGCAAATTGGGCAGCAGTGCCAAATGATCACATGCTTACACATTCCTCAGAGATTTAGCCAGTAATCCGCAATGGAATCTCAGTCCCAGGTTTGTTGTCTAATTACTGACGATCAGATGTGTTTCGTAGGATGACAGCACACGGTAGCTGATGGTTACCTGTCAGGCTGTTTTTTGCATGTGTGTATCATGACCTTCATCCCTTTTTTTCTGTCTCCAGGGTTTGATTGGAGCAAAGGGTGATCGTGGTCCTGCCGGGAACCCTGGTCCAAAGGCAAGTGTTCAAACCCCACAACCTTATTAGATTAGAAGAACAAAAGCATCATTGTGCTGCTGTTTTATAACAAAAATAATTTGATTCTATTCAGTTTAGATGAGATCTGGGCCATTTTTAATTCCATTCAAGGAGAACTTTGTACCTGTGTTTTTCTGAGAGATTCTGACCTGTTTGTGTATCCTATTATCTGCAGGGTCAGCCAGGTCCAAGTGGTGAACCTGGGACTCCAGTGAGTACATGTTTCTCAGCTAACCTTGAATTAAAACAGTTGGTGAAAATCGGTCTGCTGTTTGTCAAAAGCTCGGCTTTCAACAAATACTGAACTGAATTGCTTTAATGTAGACTGGCGTCAGCTTCATAAATAAGGTCAACAAAACATTTTAAATCATACATTTCTTGCCATTTTTCACTGATGCTGTGTTTCGATGGGTTGCGTTGAGTATCTATGTTCATACTATTTTTCTACTTTAGGAGATCATATAAGGTCATATAATGAGTTTGGTACCTTAGTCCAAAGAAATTAAGCCTTCTACAACTGTTACCTGAGCAGTTGTAACGTGGCAATGTAGCTGGTAAAGAAAAAACAAACCACAGATCTACAAAGTCTGCTGAACTCAATTTTGGGATTCAAGTAGCCGTTTAACGAGATGTCTCTTTAACTCCTGTCCTTTATGTGATGCCACAACACCACAAAAATTTCTTACACGTGAAACCTCAAATGTTCACCTGAGAGGAAGTGGGGCTTTGTTCATTTTCCCCAAGCGAAGTTAGTTTATTTAAAAAAATGTACTTGATTTAGATGACTACAAATAGGCTAGAAGTTGATTCTTCCTTCAACCTGTAGGGATAGTTTTGTTCATGTATTTAGAAAATTACACAAGGACTGATATTTTTTGTGGGCGAAATAAAACCGAGACAGGATATCTCGGTCTTAAAAGAAGCAGAACTGAAGTAGTTTGAAGATATTCTTTTGTTTCGGGACTAAACATGCTCCCTGTATGGGTATTTTATATAGAGAGCTAACAGAAGCACCTGAGGTTCTCATTACACTTAGGAAATTAGTTGTGACTGACTGAAATAGGTACTCTATGAATCCTGGTTTGCTAACAAGCAGCTTGTAACCCAGCTGGTCTCTTATGGCAACCTCATGGGTCACCTTTTTGCCATGCCTGAATGACGGACTAGCTGTAGCCCCTCTTGGTTCAGTTTGGCCAGATGTGGCATATGCTGTCTCCAGCTGGCTTGCTATCATTCAAATGCATAGTCTCTCTTAAAGAAGCCTCATCTTACCATGACTAACAGTTTGTGACTTTCAGTCGCACAGGCTTTGCATCATGTGGGCCACATCTGATACCACTAGGTGGTGCTCATAGTCCATCTGGTGGCGCTCACAGTCCATCTGTCTCAAATCCTCAAAGACAAGTCCAGAGTCATCAGATGTCATGCCTGGATGGATGACTATTAGTTAATGCTTTGTTTAGTATTGGACGCTGTGTTTTGGGACTGAACACTCGAGCCAACTCGCACTGCTCTGACAGACGATCCTTCCCGGTGGGTTGCACCTCCTCCACCAAGCCCTAGTTGATTAATTACCTGGTTTCTAATTAACTCTAAGCTAAAGACACAGCGCTCACGGACCGACGGCGTTGTGTCCGTGAGCGCTGTTTCACCCACACTCGGTGTGCACAGGTGCTTCTCCAGATTACTGCTTTTGTTGACAGTCTGAATAGCTTTTCCTGCTCTCATTTACCTCTTTTCTGCCCACACAGGGACTCGGCCTTCCAGGTCTGGCTGTAAGTAGCGTTTTTGGATCTGGGCATTCATTGCTTTGAAGAGGCCAGAAGTAATTTGTGGTGGAATTAATAGGATACCTGCATCACATGTTCTCTTTTGCACTTGTCTTTTATGCCTTGTTTTGTACCAGGGTGCTCCAGGGCCCATTGGTCTCCCTGGTAATATTGGACCCTCTGGACCAAAGGTAGCTCTTTTGTTACTTTCAAAGCTCCAACGACATCTAAACCTTCACACTCACAGTTTTCGTTTTTCCTCTCTTACCTTCATACAGGGTTTAATGGGACCTCCCGGAGCTCCAGGACTTCCCGGACCACCCGGCAAGCCAGTAAGGCTTGCCTATAAATATATAGTTGATTATAATTTTCATAAGAAATATGATTGGGGAATAGAATAAATGAATCTTCTTTGAGATAAAGAAGGTAGGATTGGATAGAATAGTCTCCACAATATACAAAACGTCTATTAAAACACAAGAAAGACATCCCAGCTTTTTATCTTCTGTAATTCATTCATTCAAGCATATGTGAGTGCATTTCAAATCTTATACTATAACATAATGTTATATTATATTAATGTTATATTAGCTCCTCCTGGTGGACAAACTATTCAACTGCAGATCCCCATTGCAGTGAAAGGTGGAGTGTTGTTTACATGAACCTTGTTAATTTTACATAGCCATGGTCCTTTCCGTGCATCTTGTGAGATCAGTGCATAAGCGTACAGGCTCGGGACACAACAGTCTGAGATTAATCAAAGACGTACTCCCTGTCTTCCTAACGGAAGGCACCTTCTGTCGCTGAGTGAGTTGTAAGAGACAGACAGTGAGAGAGTGCCTGTACTGTGCTGAACGTTTGATCCAGCAGAAGCAACAGTTAATGTCTGTGGGTTTCTTTAATGTATCAAAATACCTACCGCAGCCCGAGCTAGCTGCTTCCCCGGGTCCCTGCAGACAGGAAGCGATGAGCTAACAGACGCTGTTCTGAGTTACGCTTTTAAGGTGTATGTACTCCCCTGTGTGCATCTGTGAGTGACTCTGAGAAAGCAGAGAAGTGGAAGAGCTGGGGCAGCTTCACTGAGAATGATGCTCTGAGCCCAGGGGAGCATATTTGTTTAGCTTTACTGCTGTCCTAGGACAAATAAACCCCCATTAGATCAGTGTGCTGTCTCATCTGACTGCAGCAGGAATACATCAGCCCTTTGAGATGCGTCGCCTCCAAACTGAATCTATACACAGGAATAGAGAGTGCTGATTCAGCTCAGTGGAGAGGAGGTAACTGTTAGATAGCTGTTTTCATCCATGTCTACCTGTCTCTGAAGGGTCCTCCAGGCAAGTTCATTGGTGCCGAAGAAGGCAGTGCTGATATCCAGGTAAGGTCCAATTAGTTTTGTATAAATGTAAACATAATCTAAGGTTGGTATTCCACTTTTTCCTCTGTCTCTCTCCACAGTGTCCCCTGAACTGCCCAGCTGGGCTGAAAGGACCCCAGGGACTGCAGGGAGTCAAGGTTAGGAGTGTGTCTGTTTTGTATTTGTTTAGGTTTTTAGAAAAGTTCAGATACCATCTTGATGACATGTTGCTCTGCAGGGGCACAAAGGACGGGCCGGAGTTCTTGGAGACCCGGGCAGCATCGGAAAAACGGTGAGCAGCAAAGCAGCACACGCGCACTCAAATGCCCAGGCATGGCTAAGTTGTACAGCGGTGCACACTTTGACTCAGCCATCACTGAGGAGGAGAGGATTATCTCTAATGAAGCCCCCCGAGGCACATGACTGCACTAATCTGGCTGCGATTAGCTGGGCTGGGCCCAGGCCCTTCAGTCTGCATGCAGCAGGCCAGATGAAAGAGGTGGTGAGGAGCCAGGTACATGAATAGGAGGATGAGAAAGTCAGGGTTCCCGCAGCTCGCTCACCTCGCTGTATTAAGCAGAACTAATGAGCACACAGTGGGCACCTAGGGTGTAGCTAGCCAAGCTCGAGGAGTTAGCCTCTGATCTTCCCACACAATGAGCTTTCTGGATGTGCAAAGATCCTGAAAGCACTCGGCACACCACGCAACCTCTCCACCAAGGCAGTGGTGTTTTAGTGGACCTGCCTGTAGTCAGGGTTTTCTTTTTCTTTTCTTCTCCCAACAGGCAACCAGCAGGTCCTGCTGATTACCTCAGTCAAACTGTCTGTCTGTTGAATTTGGGATTATTTTCATGTCAGTATGAAGTGAAATACTTGACTTTGTGAAAAGTAAATCAGATTCATGACTGAACGGACCGGACAGGTTGATTCTGGTGAAAATGATGCTGTTAATGAGGTCATTACTGGCCTATAAAAGAAAAGTACCATATTGTGGTGGATGTCAAGTTAATGACGGCTATAGACCTTATGTGTCTAAAGAGATGAGTGTGGGTACTGCCTTCCATAGATTGATGGTTACTAGTGATGTGATAACTACAAATTAAATATCTCATAATTATCTGTGATTTCAATATAAAACATAGTTTACAGATTACACTATGCGTTTTAGTAGAATTGAAAGTAGGAAATTTAGGATTTTTTTTTTTTTAAACCAGAGGATTGCTCAGCCCTCCACTGGCCATTGGAAATAATTCAGATTTGAGCAACTTCTAAAATGGTCTCATATTGGTTATGTCCATCTGTTGTGAGTATAAAATAGGCCTTGGACCTATTTGGATATGCCAATATAGAGTGTATGCCAATATATTTGGCAGGTCTATTGGATAAATATATTTTTTCATTTTTTATTTTTAAATAACCCAAAATCTCCTTGAGTCTTATGATATGTTCTGAAGTACAGACAAAGGTGTTGCATCGGGTTTGTAATCTGACTCCGTTCAAAGATGGACACAAGTGCAAGTTCATGACAGCTCAAAGGAGGCTGATAATTGCAATAATTGGTGTAGGCTAGTTGGTTACAGAAATTTGCAAGAATAAAAGCGATTGATATATGTGCATCCAATGTATGCATGGGATGGTTGTCACTGCAGATGTGCAGACTGACAGACAAAATACACAACGACAGCTCTGAGCCCTCACAGGCCGAACAGAAACCAACCTCAGAGTTCATGAGTCTTTCAAGTGTGGGAATCTAAATCAGGCCATTAATTTTTAATTAGTTAGCCGTAGCTGGCTAATTAGCTTCAGATAGACTTCTGTTAAGCTTGACTCAGCATGTGCACAGGAAATAACCATGAAAGTACAGTTAAAGCATTAAAAGAAAACTGTTCTAAAACTGAAATAGTTCTAAAGCATTTCCCTCCACACAGGTTCCAACAAGTTTAGAAAAAAATGGTTCCAGTGATACCCATAAATATATATATACATATATTTTTTTTTTACCAGGGCTTCAAAGGAGAAGTCGGCATCTCTGGGGAGCAGGGCATCCCAGGACCCCCGGTATGCTAACAACACTTGCTTATCATATTCTGACTGTTGGCCGCTGCTCTGTCTAACATTTTTTTTGCCTCACCTCTCAGGGTCCAATGGGTCTGAGGGGTTATCCGGGAATGATGGGTCCCAAAGGAGAGGCGGTGAGTCCCACTTTTGTCTATTTCACTCTTTGGATGCAAGGCTATTCTCATTCCGAGGAGAGCACCAAGGAGGCACAGCCAGACTTACCCTCACAATGCAAACACCATCCATTACCAGCAATGGGGACATATGGAAATGATGCTAACACAAATCTCTCTCCTTCTCTAATGAGTTGGGGTTGTCTGGGGCCACGGAGCCTCCATCTGTGGTTAATGATCCGCTGTAGCCATCCGTCTTACTGTTAACATTAGCTACGTTAGCCAAGTTAGCACCCCGACTTGGAGCCAAAACAAGAGGTGCTGGCTCAATGTGTAGTAGCCATTAGCTAGAGTAAGCACTAAGTTAAGCACTAATTATCATTTCATCACAATAAAAAGAAGGCTACTGTGACTTGCTTTCCTCTTTGATCTGAAGTGACTGATGACACTTTGTTGTTTTCCTGTAGGGCCCTCGTGGCTACAAGGGCATCAACGGACCAGTAGGAATACCCGGGCCCCCTGTAAGGATCCATAAACAGCAATTCACAGACATGTTTTTTTCAAATTGTTTAATAGTTCTAAGGTTTTTCTTTCATTTTCTGCAGGGGGAAGAAGGACCACGAGGACCACCTGGAGAAGCTGGAGACAAGGGAGACAAAGTAGGCAATTCTTCCAGAGCGGTTTACTTTTCAAGAGAGCGAAAATAACGTCAGAACTTGAAGTGGATGCGCTGAAGCTGACGCAGTTATTTTCCACAGGGCAGCCGGGGGATCCAGGGCCCACAGGGCGCCGTTGGCAAAAAGGGAGAGAACGTGAGTGACGGCGCTCGTTCATTTGCACGCTGCCCAGACGTTTTGAGCGTGCGCAGAGGGCTCCTCTGAATCGTCTCTCTGCTTTTTCAGGGACTGCCGGGTATTGATGGAAAAGACGGAACACCTGGTATTCCTGGAATCAAGGTAAACTCGTGCCCGCTGCAATAGAGATGGGGCGACTTTAATCTGGGTCAAAGACGTCAATCTCTTCTGTTTTTTTTTTCAGGGCGCCCCGGGGCAGGGTGGGATGCCCGGTCCTCCAGGTCCTCAAGGAACAGCGGTGAGTCAGGGAGGGTGTACTGATTGTTCTTGCCCACTTATTGCCTCTCAGAACACGTAGGATGGTGGGCGGTGAAGGGATCATGGGGCAATCTATCCCCCTCCTCACTCCAACACAAACAGGGAAAGCAGGCCGAGGCGGCCTGGAACTTTTGGCGTGCTGTGTTTTCTGGGCAGTCAGCCAGGTTAACAGGGACCCTTTGACCCGTGCTGTTTTAGAATATAAACCACCTTGAAATCACAGTCTCCCTCCCACCGCAGGCCATTTATCACAATCAGACCGGTGGGAAACAGACGGCCATGTTTGTGTGTGTGTGTGTGTGTTACACTCTGACTAAGGGGTAATGGAGCGTAAGATGCACACTTTGCTGTGTGATCACTGCGGTGACACTAACACCGCCGCAGACTCAGATGCTGAGGCTCGGCCTGTTTTGTGACCTACGGGGAGGTGCGTGGCTACTGCTGTCACTCCGGCTGTTTTCATCCCCTCAGTGATGTCCACGACTGCTTAAGACCAGCACTCACACACATCCACTTTCACTCCCCATTGTATTCTCAGTTACGTTTACACTGTTTCTGAATTCTGTCTGTAGGGATTACCGGGTACATCTGGAGCTAAAGGTGGACCTGGAGCTAAGGTACGCCATCTAATATTTTTTATTGATTTAAGCATTTTTGTTTATCTTTTTTCTATTAAACACATATTCTTCTCTTGTCAGGGGGAACCTGGACCAAGGGGTCACGCTGGCATGCAGGGTGCTTCAGGACCTCTGGTCAGCATATGTGTACATTTCTAACAGGCGACTAAAACTTTTATTGCACCACAATTAAGGCTATTTCCTAACTGTTTATTGTTAGGGCGAGCCTGGTATTCCTGGTGAGCCTGGTATGGAAGGAGTCCCTGGACCCAAGGTACAACCAGTACTATAACAGTCCGTCACCCATAGCTGTTGCTTTGTAGCACACTGACTCAGGTCCGGTTTACCCTTGCAGGGCGACAGGGGTCAGCGCGGAATAGTTGGGCCGCAAGGAGTTGTTGGCAAGCCTGTGAGTTGGTTTATGTTTGTTTTTTTAAAGGCATTTTAGGCTTACATATGGATGCATTTGTAACAGCATTTCTCTCAAATTCCAACAGGGAAATAAAGGAGAAAGAGGGCCCATCGGTGTTCCCGGCCCACAGGGTCTTACTGGAACCAAAGGAGACAAGGTGTGCAAAAAAAGCCACCCACATCCCTGCGTGCCAACCGTGCATTATGGGATGTGCAGTGAGGCAGACCTGTCCATCGGGGGGCAGTGTTCACCCATGAATCGAAGCCAAATAAATCAACTGCCGATCGGCAAACTATGTGGCAAAATGAATGACTTAAGGGATGAGATGACATTTTTCCAGCTTTGCTGTCCGTTTTGTCGCTGTTTTCAGTCAGTACATAGGACCAGGTTTAGACCAAAATTTCCATGTCATTTTCCCATCTCTTCTTCCAGGGCTTCCAAGGCAAAGTTGGTTCAAAGGGGGACATAGTAAGTAGCACTTCTAAACCGTCTTGTCAGAAAGTCCATGCCCACATATACATCCTACAGACAGCCTTCTATTTCCCTATTTTCATCTTCTCTCCTCTTTGTTGCTTGTAGGGTGACCCGGGCGTTGAGGGATTGGCTGGCGAGAAAGGCGAAAAGGTAAATATTATTAAAGCGCAACCCAAAGCCGGTTCGAACTTCTTGTTCCAAAGCGCTGCGGCGAAAGTCTATGAAATGTAAAACTTTCAGACTTTAGATAAGAGGGTTTAAACAGCTCATTTTCAGGGCATCAAAGCAGAGTGCTATATAGTTGGGGATGCAATATATCACTGAGAACCATAGCCAAGTTAAGACGAAGAGCAGGACGCCTGTTTCTGCATTTGCATTCAAAGCCCCGTAATAATCCAGATTGCAAGTAAGCTGTTGACATGGCAGCAAAGCAGGATGCACGCTGGCTCTTTGAAGCCACATATTTAGACACTCGCTTACAATATTCTCCAATGAGTCTCAGACGTACAGAATGAGACAGAGGAGTGATAACGTGACAATGACTGCCTGTCTTTCCTGTGACAGGGTTTGTCTGGCGAGCCTGGGCCAAAAGGACAGGTGAGAGTGTGACCATGTGAAAATGTCTCACTTATTTTGACCTCTTCTCCTCTACTAGTCTTTCTCTGTCTACTCAAAAGAAAGAAAATTCCACATTTCTGTGGTGATTCTCGTCTTCGCAGCAAGGAATTAGGGGTGACCCTGGATACAATGGACCGACTGGAGATCCAGGTAAACCAGGGGACCCGGGACCACCAGGAGTACCTGGTCCAAGGGGGCTTAACGGCGAGCGCGGTGTACCCGGCATGCCAGGCATTCAGGGATCAGCAGTGAGAGCGCTTAACTCTTCCTGGCTACGTATGGCTTTATCTTTATCTCCACTGCACTCAGCCCTCCTCAACCTCGTTTCAGGGGCGTGACGCATCCGACCAGCATATCATCGACGTGGTTCTCAAGATGTTGCAGGGTGAGCACTTAGGCTGAAATAGTCACCTTTGATGTCTACAGGGGAGATTAGATTAGCACATTTCCGAAAACTGCTTTCATGTGCAGAGCCGTCAAAGGTCTTTTAATCGAAATGATGATGCTGTCTTCTGCTGCAGAGAGGCTAGCAGCAGTGGCGGTGAGCGACAAGAGGGCCGTACTCGGCGGCACAGGTGTGATGGGGCCGCCCGGACCCCCTGGACCACCAGGGGCACCTGGACCTCAGGGGCCACATGGTTTACCCGGGGCCCGGGGCATCCCGGGTATACTTGGAGCACCAGGGCAGATTGGAAACACAGGGCTCAAAGGTAAAGATAAACACCCAACACTGAGACGTTTGCATATTCCCAGCAGACTTCACTCATGTCCTCTGTTCTCCCCCAGGAAAAAGAGGGGCAAAGGGAGAGAGAGGAGATCCAGGTAAACCTCACCCAGGAGCACCTGGGCCCCCAGGAATACCAGGTAAGAACTCCAGCTTTCTAATGGATTTATGCAAGCATTTAAACCTTTCCAGCAAATTACAAAAAGCCTTTCTCCCCTGTTAGTTCAATTTGAAATGAACTCCAATTGTATAAAAAAAATATGTTGGAAACACAACATCAGTGCTTGGTACTAGAATCTGTGGAGTGAAACACGGTTTTTATAACAATCCCTTTTCTACAAGCTGCAGATGATTAAACACATGGGTACTTTTTATTTTTAGACAAAAGAGATATAAATGTTCTTTACAAGGTTCTTTCCAAATAGCTTATTGTGAATGCTGTAAAATTGCTCAGCTGACCTGTGACCCAACAGGTCTTCTGCAATCAAACAGGAGTTTGACAATTTGTGTCAATAATCATTTAGACCTCAATTTGACCTCCTTTGTGACTGTCAAATTATTTATATATATATATTCATTTGTTTTTTAATCACACTATTAACTGCAGGAACAGCTGCATTGAGAAGCTTTCCTTTCTTGTCAACCCTCTCCAGCTTTGCAGAAATCAATTATTATTATGACTGCCGGTTGCTGATTTAGACAAGGTCAGAGGGCACTCATAGTATTCATACAGCTTTGATACATAACCTGGGCTTCTACAGGCTCATACACTCAATGATAACTTCAAGAATGAGACCAAATCTGTGATCTGCTAACTTAAGCTTTTTTTTTTTGTCTTGCTCAGAAATCTTGAAAAGAGAGCCTTGAGCTCTTTGTAACTTCATTCACATTCTGTTCCGTGAAGAAGTTTTCTTTTTCAATCCTCCCAATGAAACATTTAAGCCACTTGCCTCCAACACGCTGTGATTTATTCACAAAGCAGGCTTACAGCTGCAGTTTGTCTCATTTTGTCATCGAAGTGTGACAACATTTCCTCATCGGTGCTACTTGAAAATGGACATTGCACCACATTCATTGTGGTTTCTTTTATGGGCCTATAGATAATGTCCATAAAGGAAGTGTGGAGGCACAGGCTAAAGAAAAGAAGGGGAACAATCACCAACCAAAGGACTCTGCATTACATCTCCTGCCACAGGAGAGCCTGCTGAAAGGAATTTTAAAGGCATCATTAACTCCAGTCATTTAACAGATGCTCTTGAATGAGAATGTAATAGGATTGCAACAGTAGACGCTAATTCAAACGGAGCAAAACACACTCTGCCATGTGCACATACACACTGGTTAAATACATGCATACATACATTAGAGTTGTCTAATTGAAGGCTGGAATGGGTTTAGTACCGTTAACAATCATCGCCGTGCTGTTAATCACCGTGATCTCTGGAGATCAGTTAGAAGTCTCCACTTGATGCTGAGCCCTCTCCCTCCACAGGTCCCCCTGGTGTTGACGGCGTCGCTCGGGACGGCCGGCCTGGCGAGAGAGGCCCTCAGGGATCCGCCGGAGAGGCCGGCCATCCTGGCAAGGCAGGCAACCCGGGTCTTCCGGGATTCTGCGAGGCGGCCATGTGCCTGGCTGCGTCAGCCTACACCTCGCCGAGACTACAGGAGGCAGGAACTATCAAAGGACCCAATGTTTAGAGACCTGACTCTCCACCAGCAGCTCGGGACACCCGGGAGAGAGACGGAAGGAGAGAGACCACTCTTCTCAGTCAGATAACATCAAGACCCAAAGGTGGGGGACAATGATAGCGTGCTGACTGGATGTATAGCCCCCTCCCACCCCACCAGATCTGACAACCTGAAGTTTTGACTAGTGGGACTGCATGATCTTAATCCCATCACCATGACAACAGCCACCCACATCTTTCTGAATTCCCCAGTGTTTTGGGATGATGTCAGTGTAAGCCCCATCTAAATATCCTGCTCTTATCGCAGCAGTGACAGAGGAACAGGTTCGCTCTGCCTCTCCTCACCTCCCACCGACTCTTTTCCGAGCTGCACAGCACACACTCTCCTGTACACCGTGGTCACTTTAAACGCTTTCATAGATTGTCTTGGAGTATGAATGCCCTGTCTCTCTTTGCAACATCACACCTGAAGCCTTAAACATGTACAAAAAAAAAGGACCAATAAATGTTTGCAGCCTAAGTTGCTCACTCAGTACTGTATAGTAAAATGTAGTCCTTTCATTTGTAAGCTCGCGTGAAATCCAGAATTGAGCTCATGTACATTAACCCCCCCCCCCCAAGCTTTCTACCTTGGTATCATTTTAGAAACGAACGACTAGCTTTATCTCTTCCTCTTGTTGCCTGGCAACAGTATATCCCAATGGGCACTCCCATCTCCCATAATGCAGTGCTGTAAATCTTTGTAAATGTGTGTTGATTATTATGTAGAGAAAAAAAAATAGGGGGGTTCCGATATGCACCAGCAACAATCCTGTGTTAATTAAATCAGCTCCCACAGAAGTTAGGACTGTTTTCTCCAAACGAATCGGTTAACAGTCTGAATGGGCTTTTTATGCCACTGTCAACATTCCACAGGATGACTGATTTACTCTCATCTAAAGTTATTTATTGTTCTTTATATAACCATCTGTAAAAAATAAATAAGGGTTTGTTACTGGATGTTCAGCTCATCCCAAATTAATAAAGAGAAACCTTTTGTAAAATTTAATGCTCTTCTGTATCATGTTGGGAATAGAAATACATTTCTGAGATCCCTTTTTGCACACCCTTAGCACTTTTGGTCAACATTCTTGCACTTCGAAGGCCCATTTCTGTTCAACAAAGCTGAGCAGTACCACACGGGGTCTGTTCTACATCACTTTACAAATGACGGCAGAAAGAGATAGATTAGAATATACTGACTACTTACCCATCGGTGATCTGGGTGTATCTAAATGGTCAGAAAGTTAATGGCATCAGAGAACAACCCTTTGTTTATGATATTTTGATTTGTATGGTACAGCTGAACTGCGAAAAGACCGAAAATCCAACAGATGATAAAGAACAAAGAAACAAAAGTATACACAGTCACGTGTACCTACAAAGAACAGAAATTAAACAACTACTGAGACACAGCAAGTAAACCATCCAAAAATCTTCATTATATAACTAAATGTCCACAAACCACGGGTAACTGTTGATAACTAAAAAAAAAAGTAAAAATAGAACAACGTAACTGAACTTAAAGTAAAAATACCAAACCTTAACTATGACATAAAACAACTGCAATTTTCAGAAAAGCCTCCAAGATGCATACATAAGATAACTACAAAGAGTCAGGAGACTAAAACGAAGCAACGATAAGCAGACAACAGAACCCAACAAGACAACAGAAAGGATCGAGCATCCTTGAAAAGCACTTTTATTCAGTTTAATAATTCCCAGGGGGTTTGCTTTTGAGAAACGAACCGCTGACCACAGCTAAAGTAAAGAACAAGGAATGATATTGATTGATTTGAAAATATATATTTATATGAAAAAGAACAGATGAATGCCCAGCTACAGTAAAATGTGGCACGTAGTTGAAAATGTTTCTTGCTTCTTAAATGACTGAGGCTTTTTTTTACTGTGAAGACTGTCCATAGTCTGTATATTAGGCGTCCAAAGGTGCCAAATGAAACTGTTGGAATTAAGGCGAGGTGGGATTCTTTTAAAATGTCTGCTTATTCAGAAATATTCTAGTCAAAATGACAAAAATAACTTTGACAACATAATTACAAAAGCCAATATGTTTTCTGTGTAAACACAATTACTTCTATAAATATTAGATTTTTAAAGCTCAAAGACTTTAGAAAAGAATCATTTGACGGTTAACAAAAATAAGTGGTGGATCATTGGTCTGCCCAGTATCAAAATCTTTGAAAAGTATCAAAAGCCAATATATATATATATATACACATAAATATATACAGAACAATCAATCCATCAGAGAGCATAGCAATGCAATGGGACATTTGTTTCAACAAACCTGAAACACTTTTCTTGGGATATTCTCCTGCAAGTCCAATTCAAATATGAATCGCACTTTGGCCACCTGGATGGGATTTTACAGATGCATAGGATAGAAACCAAATAAGACCATGTAAGGAAAGAACAAAGAGACAGAGGCAGCGCAGTTCAAGAAGAGCAAGAATTAAAAAAAAAAATTTAAAAAAAGTTTGAGGTCAGACTTAGTAAAGGAGAGGGAAACACAGGGTCACTTTAGATGGTTGTTGGGAACAGCTCAAAGGGAATTAGATACAGATGTGAAAGTAGCTGGAACTAACTAGGAGTAAGTGACAGAGCAATGAATTGGCGTTCAAGGCAGAAAAGAGCAATAAAAATTAGCTGCTGGATTGTTTTTACAGGCATCAGTACCAGCGGAGCCCTTAGAAAGAAACTGTTCTAGCTCACATCTATCTAAAAAAAGGAAACATCTTATCGACTCAACAGCAAAGGCAGCTTTTCTTTTCCACCTGTGTGTTTGATACATTTGGGTCATCGCTTTTGGCTTCCTTGCTTCCCCTTATACTGTAGTGTCTTTGCCCCAGTCCCTCTGCCCCTCGGGCCCCTCTACCAGGGCCCTTTGACAGGGGGGCCCTTGGGGCTGTAGTCTACTTGATGGCTCACGCAATCCACAGGATTACATCGGCCCTCTTTTCCCTTTGTCCCAGCCTGCCCAGGGGGGCCTGGGATACCCGGAACACCCTGCTGACCAACAGCACCAGGGGGCCCCATTTTTCCATACCCCGGGGGGCCTGGAACACCTGAAAAAAAAAAAAACAATACAACCCCGTCACTGATGTGGAGAAAAACGCACACACTCAGAATCACTTCTTATTATGAGTCCACATATTTGACTCGGTATATTGATCAATCCTTCATTTTGAGGTCATGTGGTCGGCTTTCATTTTCAGTAAATCAACTTTACAGAGGATTTATGTGAGGTTTTAAAGCGAGAGCTGACAAATGGGAAAAATGAGAATCCTAACATTTTGGTTAAGTGGCTCAGTCTCATGGCCCTGAATGGTGAGAATGGGATGATTCAGGGGAGTCAGTCATGCATTTAAGAAGTCGATGTGTTAAGCTTTCTTAAGTCCAAACATGTTTTCAACTACACCAGGTTTGCTGGATATCATATATGGTGACAGTTGTATGACAAAGATGTTTGTCCCCAATTATCCAAAGACTTCCAGTAGTGTGACGTCTTTTTGTGTTTGGATTTGTGGAAGCTGCTGTGCTTCATTATAAATCAAGCAGAAAACTTCCTGAATCCCTCCTACCATCTGTGCCCAAACTATCTTAAAAGCCAACCAACCATCCCTTCGATCTCATGACTCATGACTAATGCGTCATTTGCATAAGCCATCTTGATATGGAATTAAAGGTAACACTTGTGAGAATTCATCAGAGATGGATTCACAGTAGCTGCCATTATGTCACACTAACTCAGAAAAGACTATACAGCAAAATGACTGAATTTTTTGCTTTGTCAGTGTGTGAAACTGTGTCTTGAAAGGGGTTAACAGTCTTTTACAAAGATATTGAAAAATAGATTTGCTTGGAAATGTACTTAAGGAATTGGTGATAATCAATTGAAGTACTGGTACTCTAATTCCTATTTATTTATCACCTTTGGATTAGGCCGTGGTAACCATTTTTCCAAACTAACTTTCTCACATGATGGTGACTAGTTTCAGTTTCTAATGAATACAAACAGCATTATTTCCCCCAAGCTGAATTTTATTTTAATTAGAAACAACTCTGTGCTCTGTAAAATGAGTAGAATACTTTAAAGATGAATAATTTGTAATAATTAGTAATAAGATCAATTGTTTTCAACATCACTTCAGAAAACATGTAAAATAAGTACACACCAATTAAAGTCATCTTTAATGAATGGAGAGGGTGAACATGAATCAAACATGAGCCATCATTAAAGTCCTACTTTGATCATTTTCTACGAACAAAGTTGCTTTTTCAATTCAAATTACATTAATCGCTTGATGTTAAGTAAGTACAGCAGCTAGTTGGATAATTTAGCTAGTGCTGTTTGAACTCTATGTTCTAAGTTAAAGAACAGTGACAAATTCATTTAATTATGCGGCAATTGAATAATCAACAACAAATGCAAACATAACTTGCTAAAAACTACACAAAATTATGCTAATTTTGGGGGTAGCATCATGTATAGCTTGTAAAGGATTCATATAATACCTTTAAACATCTATTGTAAGTTACTGAATATATATATATTTTTTAAAGAAAAATAATTGCTTAATGAGTTGGAACATTATTCATCTTAAATCGTATTTAGCATTTTTCCCCAATAGTTTTTTGCAACCAAACTGGTACATAACAGCTTAAGGATTTATGAATGAGAAACTTTACCTGGAGCTCCAGGAGGCCCTGTATCTCCCATCTCTCCGACACCTTTGTCACCTTTTGTTCCTTGTGGTCCCCGTGGTCCTACAGAAAGAGAACCACATATTTCAACACATGCGACAAAGACGGAACAGATATCCTTAGCTGACCAGTAATGGTTTCACCTGGGAGTCCTTGCCCTCCTGGTCGTCCTTGTCTGCCTATCTGTCCCGGGAGTCCAGGAGCACCGGGGGTTCCAGGATTACCCGGCACGCCATCTTTACCTGGGGGCCCAGGCCGACCTGGAGAGGCCACCATCTCCACTGGCATCTGCATGCGAGACATGTAGTAGGCCATTCTCTCTGTGGAAAGGAAACCCAATCAAAACGAGGTATTCAGGGCAGTCCTGCCATGAATACCACAGGATAAAACTAACCATTTTAAAAACATAATTGAGAAAAGGGAAAATGCAGCTTTGATGCACAAACGATGGATTTATGATGAGTAAATATTCACACAAGCAAATTCCTTTGCATAAGCCCTCACCATCAAAGATCTTGATGACCTGTTGACGGATGAAGCCCTTGATTTCGTCGTAATTGACGACAGCCTTTTTGAGAGAATAGTCAGAAAGGGCAAAAAAAAAACGTTTTGATTTATTAGATCATTTGAGAAATTAATTATTTACAAAAACAGAAGGTGCTGCAGAGCACCTGTGGCCACCATGCTTACATCTTTGGTCCACGTTTTTACTTATTCTCGTTTATAAATGAATAATTTATTTAAAATGTTATGACTCACATCATTTCCTGGTGAGCCAGGAGGACCAGGGATTCCAGGTGGGCCAGATGAACCAGTATTTCCTCTCTCACCCCGAGGTCCAACTGGACCCATTATAGGTTGGGCATCCTTGGAATGATATCCTCCACCGCCCGGGGGTCCTGGCCTTCCTCTCTCTCCTGGAGGCCCCCTCTGGCCAGCGGCCCCTGGCTCACCCTAGAACACCACAAACATGAGTAAGACAGGTGCTTACAAGAACAACATATATATACTCAATTAAGTTTAACTCAACATTTTATGGCTATTTAAGAGCAGCCCTTGCTGTGCGATAGATAGATCGATAGATCGATAGATAACTATATATGTCCATATATGTATGTATTTATTTATTTATACATGTTTACAAAAATTGATGAATGTTGGTACGTATTTTGGTATGGATATAACAAACATGCATACATACATAAAAATATGTGTTTTTAATATTTAAATAAAACTATATTTAAGTACGTATATATTTCTAAATGCATGTAACAGTGTGGACATGTCCATTTATGTATGTATTTATTCATTATTAAAGATGTGTACGTATTTATACATCTGATGTATACATGTTGACTGATTGAATGTATGTATTTCTGTAGAAATATTGGTACATACAAAATATGTAATTTTCAACACTATATTTACGTATATACATACATACATACATACATACATACATACATACATACATACATA